CAGTTCGGTTATTGGATTTCCTTTTGCAACAAATCCCTGAGACAAAATACATAAAGGAGAAATCAGCGTGAAAAGATCACTCACAATGCATGTACAGAGTGTAGCCCAAGGTGATTATTTGCTTTTAAACATCTTTTAGCATCTTGACTACTTTGGTACCAGAGTTCTGGTGGGTAGCTGGGGAGGCGGCAGGCGGATCTGTACAACAGAAGTGGGTTCAGTCTCAGGTTGCCAGGCAATGAAAGGACACTAGATGGCGCTCATAACATGAAAACCGTGAAAGGTCAGTTCCCAGTTCTGTGTAGGCAAGACTGTGTAGGAAACGGTCAGTCAAGGAGCTATAAAAGTACTTCCGCACTTCCCACTACTGGATCCTGTGGGGTGCTCTTACATAAGGCTTAGGTAGTCAGATGCATTTAGGAAAACAATACACACTCCCTGCCTCCCAGAGATTCTCACTGCGTGAAGATAAACAGATGAGCTCAGCAAATTCTTCAATGAAGAAACTTTTTTTTGGAACTGGGAATTGAACTCAGGCCCTTGCTCTTCCCAGGCAGGCGCTTATTCTACTGAGCCATCTCCCCGGCCCTGAAACTTGGTACTAAGGCATCATTATAGTAGCAGCATGCTACAATCCTGCTGTCTCTGGGTTCTGTAAAACACATTTTGGGAAACACTGATCAAGTCCAAGACCTGTCCCAAAGTAGGACCAGCCCAAACTACCCCATAGCTCTTTTTTTGTATGTGGCTATCCAGTATATTTTGTTAAAAAAAAAGTCAGACACATTTTTCAGGCAAAGTTGCTAATAAGAAGAGCAACCCCGAATGACTACGGACCACATTACATGCTCTGCTTTAAGTGGTATCTTATTTTCAAGGTAAACCATGTGTCTGAAGGTGTGTGTGTGTGTGTGTGTGTGTGTGTGTGTGGTGTGTATGTGTGTGTGTGGTACCTGACACACATGCTGAGCCATTCATAAACAGCTTAGGAACACTCTATGGCTGTCATAGAAGGATGATTCCAGATTGGATACTCTGTCCTGGTTAGTAAGGTAGCAGGCTATTATAAAACTCTATCTACGGGGAGCAAGTGAGCTCGGGGACAGCTCCCACTCACCCCAGTTCTCATCCTAGGGTTTTTATTTTATTTTTTTGCGGGACTGGGGATTGAACTCAGGACCCCGTGCTTGCCAGGCAAGCGCTTATTCTACTGAGCCATCTCCCCAGCCCCTCCTAGGGCTTTTATTTCTCTGTCTGTGCTTAGCACATTTATGCAGCATGTCTTATCTGCAAATTAACCTTACGTGACTCAGTGACATGTACTGAATTTTGATTGATATTTAGGGGTTTTGCTTTGTGTTTTTTTAAGAACACATAGTCTAAACCATGTGTTCAAGCAACCAATGCAAAGTATTTTATCTTTCATCTGCCATTAATAGCTAGATTCTGCCATTTTCTTTTTCTCTTGCAGTGTTTGAGCTTCTCAAGCCCATGTAGTTTTGCTCTGGCTGGTAGCCAATGTCTAGCTCGAAACTAGCCACGTTCTATCTATCTAGAAGTTCGATAAATTTCAGGAAGCTACAAGCGGACGAGGCTTGCAGCACCGAACGCTCTTGCAGTTGTCATGTAGCTGCTCTTCGAGCTCCAGAGGTTGTCGCTGGGTTGGTGGCTTCATTACGTAGATCCCAGTGACAACATTTCAATGAATTCATCCACTTCTGGAGGGAAAAATTTGTGAGTTTTCTCTGTTTAGCCATAGGATTTTATTATCTTACCTCTTTTGTCTCACATGCGTGGAGGTCAAAACAAATCCTATAGCTTGCTCAATTTCTTGCTCAAAGGAAGGTAGAAAGCCTAATGGCATCTCTGTACATCCATTTCCTCAGCCTTCAGCTGAGCATAAGAATTCATAGAGTTGCCATAAGATTAAATCAGTTACAAGCAATGCCTGACTTAAACATGCCACGCAAACATTGGCTCTTGACAGTTCTATGTATTCCGGGATGTGGCACACGCTCAGCAGTGTGCGCCGAGGTGCTTAACGGGAACTGTTGACAGACGTTTGAAAAGAGAACGTGCTGTAAAGAAGAAATTGCTTTGGAGCAGGAGACCTGCTTTTGAGTCAAACTTCATGGTAGCTGTGAAGCTTGCACAAGGCGCTTAGCCTTTCGGATCCCTTTTCCTTGGGGCCGGGGAGATGGCTTAGTAGAATAAGCACTTGCCTGGCAAGCACAATGGGTCTGAGTTCAATCCCTGGTTCTGCCAAAAAAAAGAAAAAAAAAAAGAAAAAAAAATCCCCTTTCCTTAATCTGGACGGTGGAAGCCCTGAGCACCTATCCAGACACTTACACTTCTTAGAGAACAACTAGAGTTCACACATATGGAAGTGTTTTTGCCTGAAAAGTCCTGTGACAGTGTGAATTCTGGGATGGAGTGACAGGAGTGAGCCCAAGGGCACAAATTTTAAGCCAGGATGACTAAGGTATGCTGGTGTGGGTCAGATGGACTTTTAGTCAACCTCTCAGGCTACCGTCACTTCTTCAGGCACCATCACCTTTATTCAATAATTTTCACTCAGTGTTTTGCAGCCAGCTATGACAACGCACGTCTGCAATCCAGGCATTGCAGGGGCCGAGGCAGGAGGACTGTGAGCGTGAGCTC